TAGAATAACAGAGTTGGAAGGGAACTTGGAGGTCTTCTAGTCCAACCCTCTACTCAGGCAGGAAACCCTATACCATTTCAGACAAATGGTTTTCCAATCTCTTCTTAAAAACTTCCAGTGTTGGAGCATTCACAGCTTCTGGAGGCAGGTTGTTCCACTGGTTAATTGTTCTAACTGTCAGGAAATTTCTTCTTAGTTCTAGGTTGCTTCTCTCCTTGATTAGTTTCCATCCATTGCTTCTTGTCCTGCCCTCAGGTGCTTTGGAGAATAGCTTGACTCCCTCTGAGATATTGGAACACTGCTATCATGTCCCCCCTCGTCCTTCTCTTCATTAAACTAGACATACCCAATTCCAGCAACCGTTCTTCATGTGTTTTAGCCTCCAGTCACCTAATCATCTTTGTTGCTCATCTCTGCACTCTTTCTAGAGTCTTAACATCTTTTTTACATCATGTTGACCAAAACTGGATGCAGTATTCCAAGTATGGTCTTACCAAGGCATTATAAAGTGGTATTAACACTTCATATGATCTTGATTCTATCCCTCTGTTAATGCAGCCTAGCACTGTGTTGCTTTTTTTGGCAGCTGCAACACACTGCTGTCTCATACTTTAAATGATTGTCCACTAGGACTCCAAGATCCCTCTCACAGTTACTACTGTTGAGGTACCATTTATACTGTACCTGTGAATTTTGTTTTTCTTGCCTAAATGTAGAACCTTACTTTTTTCACCATTAAATTTCATTTTGTTAAATAGTGCCTGATATTCAAGTCTGTCAAGATCCTTCTGTATCTTATGCCTATCTTCTGGGGTGTTGGCTAATCCTGCCAGTTTGGTGTCATCTGCAAATCTGATGAGTTCCCCATATATTCCCTCATCCAAATCATTGATGAAGATGTTGAAGAGTACTGGGCCTAAAACAGAACCTTGCGGTACCCCACTGCATATTTCCCTCCATGTAGATGTATTTCCATTGAGGACTACACGTTGAGTGCAGCTGGTCAGCCAGTTACAAATCCATTTGGTGGTGATGCTGTCTAACCCACTTTTTTCTATCTTATCAAGTAATAGGTTGTGGTCTACTTTTTCAAATGCCTTATTGGAATCCAAGTAAATTATATCCACAGCAATCCTTTAGTCCAGTAATTTTGTCACCTTTGTCAAAGAATGCAATAAGATTTTCTGGCATGATCTGTTTTTAACAAACCCATGTTGGCTTTTGGTTTAACTTAAACCAAATTTAATATTTTATTGATTTAATTTTTTTATTTTAGTATTGTAAGCCATCCAGGGGCTCTTGGCTGAGTTGGGCGGCTATAAATGTTGATTGATTGATTGATTGATTGAAAAATAAATAAATAAATAAATAAATAAATAAAGTTGGCCTACACAGACTAATGATGTAATGCAGATTCTTATGTTCTGATACTGTATTCTATAAGAGCTAGTTAAAATCTTGGGCTTTTGCCTTTTTGTTCCTGGGTTAATTAACTTTTGAAAAAAAGAAGAACCCTTGACAGCTACAACAAAGCCCAGGTGTGTTTATCTTTCCATCAAAGAAGCATACTTGAATCTTTTTTTCTAAACATGCTTTTAAAAAGTAACTCTTAGCTTAGCTTAAACACCTTACCTTGGAACTCTTTATAAACTTTCAGTTTTGTGAATAAAATGTCCCTTGATTTCATAGTTCTGTAAAAGATGCATTAATTGGCATTTTTGCAAATGCAACATTTTATTTTAAAAAAAGTTTGTTAGCCTAAAACAAAATTAAATCTACATGTATTGGGATAAAATATATCAATAAATACATACCTTTAGATTAAAATATATTCAGAAATAAAGATGTGTAATAAATGTGTTAACATATATTTATTTTCATTTTTAATTTATATCCTGCCTTTATTGTTTTTTATAAATAACATATCTAATACTCCTTCCTCCTCCTATTTTCACCACCACCACAGCCCTGTGAAATGAGTAGGGCTTACAGATAATGACAGCCCCAAGGTCACCCAGCTGGCTTTCATGCCTAAGACAGATCTAGAACTCACCATCTCCCATTTCTAGGCTAGACCAAACCGGCTCTCTCTTAAATGATGATGTAAGAATTTTCAGAAATAAATTGGAATACACTTATAAATGAGGACATGAAATATAAGAGATTATTTTCTGGTCCGTCCATTTTCACTTGGAAGCAAGTTACTGAACAACTGGATTTTTTTCCCCCAAGTGTACTTCTATACAATTATCCAGCTGTATTGTGAAGCCAGTGGCTGCATTCTCATATTGCATATGAAGTAATTGGGGTAAACACATTCTCCTAAAATACACCCATACATTCCTACAGGTGACTAGTGTAGGAGATGACCTGACAACTAGAATGGCACTGCCTGCAAGCCACCCATTCTCACTCCTAGAATCCCTTAGTAGATGGGATCCATATCAGGCTTCTTCCACTAGCATGAGTGGGGTGGATTAGTCCCCTTGGGGAGAGACAACTCCTCAAATACCCTGGATCCATGCCGTGCAGAGCTTTAAAGGTAGCAATCAACACTTTGAACTGGATGCAGAAGCAAACTGGAAGCCAATGCAGCTCACACAGTTGCTGCATTATATGTGCAGCCCTAGGGGCTCCCAGGATTGTGTGCGCCACTGCATTTTGCACTAGCTGCAGCTTCCAAATACTCTTCAAGGGTAGCCCCATGTAGAGCACATTGTTGTAATCCATACGAGAGATGACTGGGGCACAGGGCCTTGAGATCCAAGTAAGGGCACAACAGGTGCACACCATCGATATGGGTTACAGAATCTTGAAAGACTGACAGCATTGCCTTTTTTCCTCCTCTTAGATCAAAGAGCGTCAAAGCACAAGCATTTTCAGCTTCTTTCTAATTTCTTCCTCCTTTCCTGGGCTTAATTCATGTTTTGCTAACTGCCTCTATTGCATTCTTTCTCCAAGGTAGTTTCTGTGGTTCTCTACAAATGAATCAAAAGTCAATGCCCTTAGATTTCTTACAGACTCACAAAAAACTGCATAAGCTTGTCTGAATTTTTAAAAGAGTTCACAAAAGTTCCTCTGTTGGCATCACCAGCCCTGCCTTTAGGAGGAATGAGATAGTTCTCTCAAGTAATAGACACTGGAAATCAGGAAATGTAATTAAGTGATAGAAGGCATAGTTGTGCATGCCACACAATTAATTCTGTAGCCAGAAGCTACTCTGGTCTGTTCATATACATATATAGTGGTCTGTTAAACTTAAGCGTTCTGGTAATTTTATATAGATTTTGAAAGAAATTCTGTTTTTATGTTTCATGTTTTTCTGTGAACAAATTGTAGAATGGTGCAAAATATGTCTAATTTGCAGCATTTGCCACAATTAAAATATTAAAATAAATCTTTCAGAGATCTAACTTTTTTAAGTTGAAGCAGAATTCCCAAAGAAGAGTAGGGATCTTCAGCAGCTATTAAATAGGTCACTCTAGTAAATGTGAACAAAAATTTCATAATATGTGATCTTATGTGATCAGATTTAGACATAGTTAAAAATGAAATGGTCTTAGACTCTGACATAAAAAACTAAAAAAAAATCAAACTGACATGTAAATTTAAAGTTTTGTGGTCTTGTGATTTATCCAGCATGTGGTTAATGAGTAGTCCTTGGTAATCATGCATAAAGAAAAATATGCACCTCTGGTTTTGCTATCTTAAGTTATTACCACTAATAGGCACCATCCACATGTCTTGAAATCTATTTTCTGTGGTATTTATATTTGCAGTATTATTGTTTAACTTACATTCTCTCCTTTATTTTTGCAAGCAACGACCTGTTTCACTGAAAGAAATTATAGAGAAAGCAGAATAGCAGGAACTGAGAATCTGCTTTTCAGTTGCCAGGGGTATGGGGAGAAATTTTGTATTTGCATAAATGTTTTAGGGCATGGTTTGTGAGGTATTGCATACTTTTTGAAGTTTTAGTTACTGATAATACTAATGCTAATGAGGATTGAATTTTGGACCCGAACTGATAAATCGCATTAGTTTATTTCATTATATAAAATAAGAAAATATGTGAGACTTTTGCAGAAGCCAAGGGTGCTAGATATAATTTTTCCAGCAAATTATGATCATTAATCAATGTTGAGGATATTGGGAGTTGGAATTTATTTTCACTTAAAAAAAGCAGCCTTTCCTTAGTCTCTAGCATTGGAAGGGATATGACCAGTTTACTTAGGAACCATTTTCAGTGAATGACAAATAAGAGCAAATGCAAAAATGGACATCTTTAATTGCTAGGGCATGATTCAGAAAAAGATACTCTTGTTTAAGATAAAGCATAGACCTGAAAGATAATGGTGATGTTAATTTTCAAATAAAATATCAGGCATTAAATAGTATTATCATCGATACTATAGAACTGCAGGGCAAGGATTCAGCCTTAACACTTTAAGCTTTACCTTGCTGGCCAAGTCTGCATACATAGCAATGTAATAAATTAACATTGGGGAAAAATCATTGTGAACATTCATTTTAAGTCTTACAATGTATCAATCACCCTGAATCTGCAATAAGTGCCTTATCTAACTTTTGATAATAGTTAAATCAAATAATGAATAAATAAATTGCTCCCAGCCTGTTATCTTTCATATTTCCTGTTGGGATTTCAAACCCCAACAAGACCCCAAAAAGTGGCTAAGAGGTATGGTATATTTGTGTGAGTTATAAGAACAGAAGGCCAAATGTATATGGGAACACAGGAAAGTCCCTTATTTAAAGGCATTAACATTAGAGATGGGCAAAATTTGTTGCTGCAATGCTGTTCCAATCTCAAAGAGTTATTTTGAAAAAGACCATTTAGAATAGTCAACTGCGGCTGAAAGAGCCCATTTCGATTTCAAGCCAGTTACTCTGAATTAAGAACATTTTGTGCACTGCTTATTAAGAGTGCTGAATGCTTTATTATAATCAGACATGACAGAAACTTTTCTTTCTTGTTTCAGGGAAGAGCTTCACATTGACTATCACAGTCTTCACAAATCCTCCACAAGTAGCCACGTACCATAGAGCTATCAAGATAACAGTGGATGGACCTCGAGAACCAAGAAGTAAGTAATCAAAAAACACTGTTGCTCTCTTCAATTATTCAAGCTTTATGCAGTGAAGGGAAGATAGAGATGAGCCTGTTGATCCTGTCTCTCTATTTTTTGCCCATTAGCAGCCTTTTTGCCTCTCAATATTTGAAAGGGAATATCTACATCTAGGGGGTTCTGTAGTTATTTCGGCTATCCATGTAATCTGTTTATATACAATTAAAACTCTCGTCATGACCTTTAACTGGGCAAAACAGTACATCATAGGGCAGGGGTGTCAAACTCGCAACGTCACGTGATGTATTGTGACGTATTGCGATTTTTTTTGCCATTGCTGGCAATGGTGTTGGTGCGGTTTTGCTATGATGCATCCGGCCCATGGGCCGGCAGTTTGACACCCCTGTCATAGGGCAACAATTTTTGAACCAAAGTATCTCAGAAGGAATAACTTATAGAATGTCTCCAAAATCCAGGACCCATGACTCCCAAGGGAATTAATTTGGGGAAATGGTGGCTGCTTCAGTGCTACTAGCTGCTGTTGCATTGCTGGACTGCTGCTACAGTCGCCCAATCTTCATTTTCAATGTTCTGTGACCATTTTCCAGCTAGTCTTGCAATCCCTTACTCCCTCTTCCATCCAGCAGCAGCCATTTACCTGCTGGAAGGGAAGGGAAGGGAAGGGAAGGAAAAATTCCAATGCTCCACAATCAAACTCATTGGGAAAGGCAGCAGGAAATCAGAAGACACTCTTGCTCCCACTGTTTTTTTTTGCCCACCCTTGATCGTAAGTAAATTACTCTGAAACAATGAGCCAATAGGGCATCAAATGTCTAGTTCAGAAATAAAGATTAGAGCTCTAAAAATAGTAAGAGCTTACATGATTTGAGAAAGCTCCATACTAAATACACACATGCTGCATACATACTAGGGACAAAGCGTACTGATGAGTGAGGGAAGTGAAGTCAGGGCGCGCACTTAGTTCTCAGTCTCATGGTGAGTTGTGTGAAGAGGGAACATAGGATGAGGATTTTAGTCACAGAATTTTGTACAGTAGAATATTTTGTTCTGTTCAGTAAAGGGTTTAAATTAGGCTTAGTAAATGCTATACATATGGCTATACGCAATTACCTGGAAGAAAGGCTCTGTGAATTTAATGGATCATATTTAATGGAATAGAAATATGTGCGTTGCTAATTGCACTATTAATCTTCATGTGCTTGATCATCTTCCTTGACATATAATATTGCAATTTTTAGCAAGTCGGTGTGGGTCTCCAAGGGCAGTCAGCCACCAACGACTGAGGGGCCAAGGTGTTGCATTCTTGTTACAAGGTTCTAAATGTGTCACTGCTATGGAGAAGAATATAGTGGGAGCTTGTTGAATGGGGGGGGGGAATCTGATAAACTTTTTACTCTAAACTCTGTACTGCATGCAAAAAATTGAAGTTGTGGGATAAAAGAAGCCATGCGCATTATTCAGCATTTCCTGCTCATTTTGCTTTCGCTTTGCATAGGAAATTTAATTTTAGAAACAAAATAGCCCCGTTTGTCCTCCCGTTAAAGCTGGCAAATAGAACAGAATTGAAGGAGGAGATGAGGGAGCCAGAAAACATGCAGTTGCTTTTATATGCAGTTTATTGTCTCTCCTGCAAGTTAGGAAAACAGTAATTGTTGAGGGCAGGCAGCACTTCAAGGAGACAGATGGAATTTATTCCGCTGAGGCACAGATTTTCTCAGACGTGCCTGCCAAATTAAGAATGAGTAAATAATAAATAATATCTCGAGGGATGCATCCAGAAAATACATAAGCACAGTGTTAGAACACCCCTTTCCCCCCATCCAGCCAATACATTGCTGAGCCTGTGCAATGTTCCCTTGTTATTACCCAAGACAGTAATTAACCTCAGTGTAGAATGTTCGTATTTGAATCAAAATATCTTCTTGTAAGTTGAGGTTTGTGGTTTTCTTTGCTTACTCCTCCCTCACATTTGGCAGAGGTTGCAACTATAGCTTAAGAAAAGTCAAAATGAGGGGAGTAGAGAAGTAGTTGCTCATGGAAATGACAACATTACAGTTAAGAACAGAAGAGCCAGCGGGTGTGGTAGTTAAAGTATTGTACTTGGTCTGAGGAGACTGTATGCGGGTCCTCGTGTGGCCACTCTGCTCACCGGTGATTTTAAACCATTGATTCTTCCTTAACCCAACTTACCTGACAGTTTTGTTGCAGTGAGGGGGGGGGAAGCCTATTAAAGAGCCATCAATCAAATCTACACAGAAATTGAAATTGTTACTCACGAAAATTGATGCATGCAATTTCACCGCATTAAATAAGAGTTATGTTTCCTACTGTATAATCTCTTATTGTTTATATGAATAGTTTTAAATCAACGTGATTTATTTTCATACACAGCATGAGTTTCTATGCATATTTGCATTTCGGTTTGGAATGTACACTATTATTAGATTATGTGACATCAAGATCCTATTTTTAAAACTTTGAGCATCAATACATTTTCTCCAATCTTACCCATACTTTCTATACAAATATAGAAGTTCACATATGCAGGAATATCTTGAGAATCTGTAAGCTGATCTACACAAACTCTGTTTGTGTTTGTTTGTGTGTGCGTGTGTTTGCACATGCTTTCCTGCTTTCCTCTCTTTCATTATATATCCAGCTCATTTTGGGAGCACCTTCTTCCTATCTATAGTATATTGTTCCTGCATTCAGTTGTTATTGGGACAGTAGGGGCACATTGATTGCCTCTTTGAACATTATTCTGAATGTTTGGGATAAAGGGCAAAAGTGTTAGCAGCAGAGCATTCTTTTTCTATTTCAGAAAATTATATATCTAGCTAGATAGCATTAACTAAATAAACATGTACTTACTTGTCTGGTAATTCTCATGCCCACAGTCTTCTTTTGTTGTAAATCATCTAGTATCATTTGAAAGAATTATCTTAAAATATATAGTAATAGATCTCAGGAACAAAATTGGTAACCTGAAGTAAGTGCAGGATTTCAGTAGTTTTTTTCTTAAAAAGTATCTTAGAGATAATAAACATAATAATAAAATTATACTGATGATGTAAAATAGGAACTTTTCTACATCTGTAGTTGTTCTGGGGGAGAAGTAATTTCTGAATCACACTAGGGGCATATCTTTGCTGGGCCCAATTTGTACTGGCAAATTAACCCCAATATCTTCCTTTCAAGTGTGAAACACATCAGCCTATATAAACAACCTTAAAATAGATGCATTTGTCTCCTTCCTCCCCAAATTGAAGTATGTTTCAAAATGTAATTTAGGTAGTAGAAAAAGTAGTTTTTATGTAAAATTAATAGAAGCTCTCCCATGGCATTCTTTTTTCTCAATGTAAGTACATTTTGAAAACATTTCAAACTTAAATTCATTCCAACAGGATGCATGATCTGGAGAAATTGTCAGAATGACATTATTTTCCATGGTAGTAAAGTTATGGAGCTACTTTTCTCTCAATAGAGAAAACTTTTCTATGATTAATATTTTGAAGAAAATGACCTCCTAAATCAAGAAATCTATCAGATGTACATGGTTCATTTAGCTATTTCTCCCACTGATTCCAATTACAGCATCCCTCAATTACTAAAATATATTTTGTATCATTGATTATTTTAATCAGCACAATTCTAAAACTCTTCATCATAAGAATAGTGGAAAAACAGTTATGAGAAAGAAATCCGGCATGTAGCATATGAGTGTATATGCAGATTCTGAACTGAATATAATTTTATAGATGTCCTTTTAGAGATAAAAATAACTAGCATTTGGATCTCAAGCTGATCATACATTGGGGAAAACGTTGTTTGTTTTAATTTATAGACCACCCTATCCTTGGGACAGAATTTAGTAAAATCCACAATATTTTCATCTATAGAGGGGATATTTATTTATTTATTTATTTATTTATTTATTTGACACAATTTATATGCCGCCCTTCTCCCCATGGGACTCAGGGCGGCTCACAGCATATTAAAACATCGTACAAAAAAATTTCCCCTGCTAAAAACCAATTAAAACCCAAATATTGGTAGCTGTGGCTCTTTAAAATCGTTTAAAAATTGTCCCTATTTAAAACTCACCCTAGGTCAGGCCCGCTTGTTGAAAAAGCCATGTCTTGAGGGCGCGGCGGAAGGTTAAGAGATCCGGAATCGTCCGGATCTCGGGGGGTAGATCGATCAAATTTGCAGATGATACCAAGCTGGCAGGAATAGCCAACACTCCAGAAGATAGGCTTAAGATACAGGAGGATCTTGTCAGACTTGAACAATGGGCACTATCTAACAAAATGAAATTCAATGGTGAAAAAAGTAAGGTTCTACATTTAGGCAAGAAAAACCAAATGCACAGGTACAGTATAGGTGGTATCTTGCTCAGTAGTAGCAACTGTGAGAGGGATCTTGGAGTCCTAGTGGACAATCACTTAAATATGAGCCAGCAGTTTGCTGCGGCTGCCAAAAAAGCCAACACAGTGCTAGACTGCATTAACAGAGGGATAGAATCAGGATCACATGAAGTGTTAATACCATTTACAATGCCTTGGTAATACTGCATACTTGGAATACTGCATCCAGTTTTCGTCACCACGATGTAAAAAAGATGTTGAGACTCTAACAAGAGTACAAAGAAGAGCAACAAAGATGATTAGGGGACTGGAGGGTAAAACACATGAAGAACGGTTGCTGGAATTGGGTATGTCTAGTTTAATGAAGAGAAGGACTAGGGGTGACATGATAGCAGTGTTCCAATATCTCAGAGGGAGTCAAGCTATTCTCCAAAGCACCTGAGGGCAGGACAAGAAGCAATAGATGGAAACTAATCAAGGAGAGAAGCAACCTAGAACTAAGAAGAAATTTCCTGACAGTTAGAACAATTAACCAGTGGAACAACCTGCCTCCAGAAGTTGTGAATGCTCCAACATTGGAAGTTTTTAAGAAGAGACTGGAGAGCCATTTGACTGAAATGGTATAGGGTT